TAAGGTCATGAACAAATAGTTGAACTGTTGCTGAAGGGACAAGTTGATCCTAATGTTCAAGCAAGGGATGGAGTAAATGCTTTTATGCTGGCTTGTCAAAATGGTCACACTCAAATAGTTGAACTGATGCTGAAAGAAAAAATTGATCCTAATGTTCAAGACAAAGATGGTTGGAATGCTTTTATGTTGGCATGTAGAGAAGGTCACACTCAAATAGTTAAACTGTTGCTGAAGGAAAATTTTGATCCTAATGTTAAAGAGGAAAATGGCCAGAATGCTTTTATGCTGGCATGTAAAAATGGGCAAATTCAAATAGTTGAACTGTTACTAGAGGAACAAGTACATCTTGATCCTAATGTACAAGACAAGGAAGGATATACAGCTCTGATGATCGCTAGTGCTAATGGTCATAAAAAGATAGTTAAATTATTATTAGACTGGTTAGCTGATCCAGAAATTCAAGCAAATGATGGTAGTACTGCCCTGACATTAGCTAAAACTAGAGACATAGCTGATATACTAAATTCTTCAAACAACCATGCATGTATCAGTGATAGTTTGTTTTCTGGTGGTCGTTCATCACATGGTGGTTGATAAAGTCATTATTTATATAATAAAGATTCTCTCTATCTCCCCCATCTCTCTCTTCTCCCCTTTCCCTGATTGTATGTGCTTAGCTTACAAAGTGGTGTTGTTTTTTTATTGAAATGGTGAGGCAAAACAAAATGAAGCGAAGGCAGGTTAGGCAGCTTAAGTAGTACTGCCGTGGCCAGCTGAACCTAATAAGTGGTTCTTAAGGAAGTGAGATTGGAGTGGCACTTGTAAAGTTGGGTACTTTATACACAAACAACACATGTCATGTACAGTACACTTTCTATTGTATTGTATATATACAGCTAGTAATTTGGTGTTTTAATAGCCATTCACCAAAATAAACCCAGAATTTTCAACCATTATGTGCATGCTTTAATGACAAATGGCTAAATTAAAGAATCACAAAAAATTACCAGTTACATGCATGTACATTTATATAGAGTATACAATATTATTTGGCATATAAGTACACAATATTATTTGCTGTACTGTACATACATGTACTGGTACATTCATGCTAACCTGTTGTGTATATTCCCAACTGCTAGTGTTAGTGTCTGTACTAAACTCTTACTAACAGAGAAGCTAGGATTAGTCAATACAGTGAGATCAGTTGACTCTTTATCAGTGGCTTTAGTCTTCGATAATATTTGAGACCCTCCTACTGCAGCAGCTAACAGATCACGAGAACAAGCCTTGAGGATAAAGGGAGAGAGATAAAATAAAAATAGATAAAAGTAAAAGAGGAGAACAAGGAATGTGGGTTAAGACGATACTGGTAATTATCACTGTCACTGTATAATAATGCTAACTTTTGTGGTTAAAAAATAAATTTTTATAGCAATTTGCAATGCTAATTTTGTCTTTGTGGTGCTTTAATTTCACAGTTGCACACTAAACCATGGAAGTTTTTTCCTCAAAAGTTAAGTAGTACATGTATCTATA